ATTCCAGACCTAAAAAAAAACCCAAGCCAAACAACTATTAGCTCATTGTGGCTTTTTTTCCAGAGCACTTAGGAACGTTTTCCTATTGCCTTTTCATAGTAGGGGGTTAATAGCACCACTGAATCCGATTCATTGTCAGTATTGCAAACTCACCCGGGGAGAGGAGTCTCTCAGTAAGACTACATGCAGAGGGAGGTTCACAGAGCTTTCTCCAGCATCACTTCTATATTTAGACTCAAGAGTTCTTTTGTTTAGTTTATCACTGTGTGGGTACAGATCATGTTAATGCCAAGTTACATGTGCATATGGGTAGGATAGCATACACTCACCACTGGCTTTGCGTTCAGCTCCAGAGGCAAAAGCACAGATCTGAACGCTTACAGGAAAGGAAATCCTAAAGTCACCTGGGGGAGACAATGTTTGCAGTTCTATACAGTATCATTTGGCTCAGGAGCAGTTCTACCTTCAAGTGATAATTTGAGGTGACGTTTCCAATGCTGTGGAAGAAAAATCGCTTTCCTGGGTAGAAAAATGGGGAGCGAATGCTTTTAAAAGATATATATAAATGTGTCATATCAGCATTAGTCAAATGAAGTGAATGCTTCCAATATTTTTTAAAGCTTTCTCATATGAATCAACCATTTCTGAAGTTGTAGTATATCAAGTAAGAATATTAGAGGTATAAACTGTCCAATGGCCGTTCTGATGTCTTAGTACTCTATGCACTAGGGTAGCATCTTTAGGATAAAGTTAACCTTGGTGAAATGTATCAGGGTTCACTACCGTATCTTCAAGTGGCTGATAAAAGGCCTTGCCCCCCCCAGATATGAATATTTAAATGACTGTTAATTATTTGTAGTGTATTTTTATCAGCACTGACTTACAGCATGGTCAAGTCGCAGAGAAAGCTCGTTGTGCTTCGAGGTTGAGCGTGCGTCTCGAACAACATGAGTGCTGCTGAATGGAAGATAAGGTCCAGGGTTTTATCCTGTGGTGGTTGCTGTGAGAGTCTGTCTGGAAGAAGTCCTTGTTGACTGAGCTATTTTGGAAAGAGTTTTTAATACCTGGTGCAAGTTAAACTGAAAGTGTCTGTTTCTGATGGAAACGTCTTGTGAAGTGCAGCGTCTCAGCGCATGGCTGGGGACAGTTAAAGAAAGCATAACATCTGTGTCGTGCCATTGAAGTGCCGAGTGGTGGCTCTTAACCTGGGATGCTCTTCCACAACCTCAGGTTTTTCATGAAATTTAACCTGTGTTCTCCTGGTTTCATTTCATCTCTTTGTGCGTGGTGTGCAAATGCGTTTCTCCCTCCTTGCTAATCAGATATAGTCTGTATTTGCCCCTTTTCTTGCAAGCTCTTTAACCCCTTCCTGACCAAGCTAAGAGTGCTGGTCAGCATTTCCCATCGGTTTTTGCAGTTCTTCTTTCAGCTGCTTCTTGGTTTTCTGTGGATCCTCTCTGAATTCCCTTTAGGTTGTTGTCAGTTCTGCGCTGAATATTGGCAATACAGACAATATAAATACCTGGATAGACAGGTATATTGCTAAGGCAACATATTACACACAGCCTAATGCAGTATTCCATATGAGCTAACAAGAAATCCCTATAAGGCTGGATTTAAATCTCTCTGGTCTGTAACACAAGGTGATGCCTCTGCATATGTTGACAAGATTTCATTAGCCTTTCCTGTAGCCCTATCTTCTTGCAAACCCATATCTAATCTTCAGTTTGCTGTCTCTGCGAGATCTCTTTCAGCACTGCAGCTTCTTTGGATCTCCTCTGTCTCTCACTGAGTGTCTGCATTGTGGATTATTTTCCCTGGAGGTATTAGTGTATATTTTTCCATATATGAAGATAATAAATGGAAGAAGCAGAGATGAAAAGAAAAACCATTACTTGAGAGCAGAAATAGAGATGCAAAGAAAAGACTGAAAGGGAGATAAGGGAAGAAAAATCAAGGAAGAAGAATATGGAAAAATGAAAAAGGAGTTAAATAATCAGAATACATTAATTAATCAAAGTGCAGATCATGTGGACTAGAATAGCAAAGCAGCAATGCAGAGAGCTAAAAGGAGACAGGGATAAGGATAATGAAGGATAAGTTGAAATGTAGTATGTGTTTTCAAAATAATGCATTTGAAAGTGCTATTTGACTTGTTAGACCTGACTTTTAGCAAGGCTGTCACATGCTGGGCACTGGAAAGCTCATGACAAGGGGTTATGAGAAACATCAAATTTTTCCCTTAACAAAAGCAGTGATTTTTATGATGATCATGGTTTTGTTTGCAGTTCAGACCTCCCTCATTTCTACAGCAGTGACTGGGGGGTTTATCCCTGTATCACAGCTATGAAAATGAGATTTAGAAAGGGTAAGTGAGCTGGCAAAGATTATAGGAGAAGTCATTGCAAAGAAACACACATTTCTAAGTGCCAGGGTCAGACCACTGTGCACAAGCTTCTGCAGTGCTCTGGTTAGGTCGATTCTCACACTTTCTCACCATGTTATGGATGCTCTTTTGTCATAGGGGTTAACTATGATTTGTTGACCTCTTCTTTCACCATCTTGTTTCAGATGCTTGGTCATGCAGTGCCCACATCATCCCAAGTCATGGCCGAAATTAAAGGTAGTTGCTAGAGAACTGTTTGATTCGCTTTTCTTCCCCTGGTGTGCCATTGTAAGCTCTTGGCGTGCAAATCGGCCTCCATCCAGAGATGGGGGTCACAGACCACTACTAGGAAAGCACTGGCCTCAGTGCTGTTATTAGGGGGAAAAGCAGCCTGGAGCAAGCCCTAACCAGTTCCTAGAAAAGACTGTGAGTTAGGGAGGGGAATTACACTATCAGCAAATGAGGGTGGCTGGGGGGGGAAGTGCAGGGAAGGACTTAGTTCAGTAACCAAGTTGCCTGCATTCAAAGAGCTAATGTACCAGATATTACTGCTCAAGGCATTCTCACTATTGCCAGGGGCTTAATATGATTTGCATAGCATGTATGGGTATTCCTAGGGGAGAATGACAGAGATCATTAAATGAAAACAAATAATAAATAAGCTCCTTACAGCCCCCACAGGTACATAAATATGACTGTACGTGGGGCACACAGGCGAAGACAAATGGCTCAGTGTATATAGGGTGAGGAATCCATAAAGCAGAGAGGCTGCGTTTTCCCCTCTCTGGCCACAGACAATGCATTTGCTCACTGCTGAGAAGGGTCAAGTGACTGTCACAGGCTTTGCACTGAAGAGATGTAACCTGTGTCACAGCTGCCAGCCATGCTGGCTTGAAAAGGTCAGCTCCCCAGACACAGGTGGGAATGTCACAAGTTAACTACCTGGGGATCTCTGTAGTGCATTGGGAACAGCAGCTGAGCATCATCTAACCCCACCGCACCATCCACTTGTCATGGGGCTGTGGGAAAGGGGTGTGAGAACAAGCAGGCTTGTGTCTGTGCTGGAGCTGCATGGGTTTTCTTCATTAGGTTTTTAGGATCCCAGTCAGCAATGCTGTGTTGCATAGGAGGATCAAGGATACTTGGAGATTTCATGGCTGTGGGTGTTGTGACTGTTTGCTTATTCCACATTTTGGGCTTCTGTCCTTTGAATCAGACTAAAGCTTAGGAAATTCTGTAACTGTGACCCTTCCCGTGACTCAGATCACAAAGATTTTCTGTCACGTTGGTCAGGGCTAGATTTGAAATTATGTCTTAGAAGTGAAAGCCACAGTGAATGAATCAAACAGATTAAGCTGAATTATTGGCTCTGGTCGTGTAGTACGCTGTTTCCTACCAGAGATCACAAATAGATGTAAAAGCTGATTTGTCGTATCCCATCAAGCAGTTAAGTATTCCTTTAGTTATAAACATTATAAACCAGCACCCAGTTTCAGGCTGTTATATTACACAGCAGGTCGTTCTGTACCTCTCAGGAATTCAAGCCAGCTCTGTATCAGAATGATGTACGTTCACCGCTGTCTTTATTGTTTAGTTACATAAATATCTAAAAAACAATGTTCAAAGAGAACGTTTTTGTTGCTTTCCAAAGAGAAAGGATAAAGTTTATTCCTACTGACTTTCAGTAACTGAATTGGATGGGAAACGGAGGGAAATCTGCGATGTCAGATAAAGTCTGAAAGATACTAAGCTTACTGATTACAAAATGTAATTGTGACACCCAGTATGAAGAGAGATCAGAGAGCATCTTTTCAGTGCACAGCGTTATGACATGGCACCTCTTGGGGGTCTGTTTTATTGCAGTCTGTCTGTTCCATATGAGTGAGTCATTCATGCAATAGTTTTAAAAGTAGCTTCACACTGACTTCTACAGCCTTTAGTAGTATTAATTTCTGCTTTTGATATAGCTGAACCTGCAACAGATTGCAATGCAGTGAGGAAAAGAGGCTCCTCAGAACCACGGTGTTCAAGTAAGTGGTGTTCAGCTGGCTCAGCTTAGACCCTGGTGCATCTGTAATGCCAAAGATGCCCTACAGGTAGTTTTGTGTTGGGGAGGGAATGTTTTTGGTTCTAAAGTGCTGCAAATCTGACATCTACAAAAAATGGACATTTAAGAAAGAACAAAAATGATCAGAGGGCTGGAGCAGCTCTGCTCTGGTTCAGCCTGGAGAAGAGAAGGCTCCTTAAAGGGAGACCTTAGAGCAGCTTCAGTGCCTAAAGGGGCTACAAGAACCCTGGAGAAGGGCTTTTGATAGGGGCAGGTAGTGACAGGACAAGGGGGAATGGCTTTAAACTAGAAGAGGGTAGATTCAGAGTAGAAGCAAGGATAATAGTTTTAGAAGTATCACATATTTTCTAAAAAGGCTTGAAATAAAGCTGGAATCTGCTGAAAGACAGGTGGAAGGCACAATATTGACCAAGTTGAGGCTTGTTCCTCTGTGATGACATTGAAGAACTCTGACATGTTTTGATTTCTTTCATATTTCTGATTCTTTGTGGAGGCTCGAAGGGTTGAGGCCATTCAAAGAGTTGAGGGAAGCTGTGAATGAAAGTTCATCGGAGCAGAGGACGCCCTGCAGATGTGAGCCAAGCATTAAGTGCAGTTGTCTGCAGAGCTTAATTGCCCCTGCAACTTTTTTTGCCTGTCTTCTCATTTTCCCTAGGTTGGCATTTTTGTGGCTGAATACCACTGGGAGTTAAGGACTTGCTGTGACTCTCGCTCTTACTTAGAGGAGTTTTGCCTGCAGCAGTCACATAGTTGAAAAATACAGATCCATGTGACTGCTAAGAGACCACTGAGAAGCCAAGTAAGGAGGACTCATGGCCATTTTGCAATTCCACCTCATTAGACATGTTTTGGGGCTTATGATTGTGCTGTGAGGATAAATAAGTATAAATATTATATTTGCCTCCAGGTTATCTTTAAAAATGTATTTCTCTGTCTCCCTCCCCCTCTTTCTTTCTTTATTTCCCCCCCTCTTTTTTTTTCCCTTCCCTCCCTTCCAATTTCCAGTGTAGTCTGTCAGCTCCTGGTAGGTGAGTTATCAACTCTGTGGTCTCACAGTATGGTGGCCCAGCATAAGGTATTACATTATAAAGGGTTGCCTTGTGCTGCCAATTACCCGAGGTTCTGGAAAGCAAAATGTGCAGCAGTGTGATTAACTCCGTGTGCAAGTTGCAGCTCACATCACCCCAAAACTGCTGTGAGAAAAAGCATTGCAAAAAGTATTGGACTTGTAGCCAATGCTGCCTTTTCCAGTGAGAAGAAAGTGGCAATGGCTGTCTTTGATCATTTGAACAACTCTTGTGAATTGCCTTTGAAAGAGAGGGGAGCAAGACACCGTGGAAAACTTGGGTAAATACATACCTAAACTGATACTGTTGCCCAGATGTTGGTCTTTCTTAAACACACCAAGGGCGAGTTCTCTTTGTTGAACACGCTGATGAGTTCACTCCCTGCTGCAGACCTGGGTATCTACCAACAGAGTCCATGGAATTGTGCCAGTTCACACCAAAGGATTTTCTCTTTTTCCTCAAGTTGTAATCCACGTGTTCTCAAAAATGAGTGGACCAATTCCTGCAGGAGAAGAATTGAACCAGGGTGGGCAGCATCTAGGGGCTGCAGTGTTTCTGTGGTTACTGCAGTCTGTCTTGTGTGTATGTTATTAGTCTCTGTTATTCAAATTCACTGTAGTTAACACAGGTTTGGTGTAGTGTAAATGTTACCACAGTCGGCTTCAGTGGTTCCTGTTTCTTTTCCTACCCATCTGGGAGTTTGGAAGTCATTTGACTGCCTTGCTTCAATTTAGCTTCATCTAAAATGGCATTTTAAATGATGATCTACCTTTCAGTATCCATCCCTCTTAATGACTCCATCATGAATGGTGCTGTAGGAATTCACAGACCCTCAGTGTAACAGATGCTGTCTGTGTATGGGAAAGCCTGATATTAGCGAGTTGGTCTTTTGAGGCAGCCACTACGTGATGCAATAAGAACAGCTCCTTTAAAGCAGAAAGCAGCACCAGGGTTTGTATAACTTACATGCTTATTTTGGCTCACTGGTGTTTCTAGGAGGTGATGCCAGGAAATGCTGTTGCCTTTTCATATTCAAAAGAACGTTTAGCGTCTGGGGCTCATGTAGTTCTAGAATTTGGGGCTGAATTACCACGAGGTGGCAGTGTGCAAGGCCCAAAGTACATCTTGGTTATACCGCTTCCCTGTGACTTCCTTCTCAGACCAGGTAACATTTGGAGTAGATGATCGTTGTAGTCCCTTTCCAACTGGAGCTATTCTGCATTTTCCAGTAAATATAGTTGTTAAAAGTTCATGCATAGATCTTGAAGGATTTCTGGTTTTACAAAGGACACGTTATGCTGTTGTGCACTGATAGTCAGTACATGCTCAAGTCAATACATGAAGCAAGTCTGCACGCTGCTTGTGAGAAGACTGTGGTCCTTTACTTAAGGAACAGAAAAGGGCTTTAGAAACAGTGACCATACTGTTCTCCATTTCTTCTTATACTAACCCTCCACAAAGTACACATAACCCTTCACAGAGTAAAACACAGTGTAGAGAGTTTCTGCTGTCTTAAATGGAGTAGGGCATTCCCCTGTGCATGTGTGTGAACACACATATTGAACGAACAGACACAAGGCATCCAGCAGTAAGAAACTGTGCTCGTGTTTGTTTCTAAACCATTTCCACTGGGACCATTAAAAAAGCATTTAGTAATATTTGGGAAAGCCATATGCCTCTCCAGGAGGGACAGTCAGTGGGTACCAGGAGCCATGAGCACCAAATGATGACCAGCTTTGCCAGTAAGAGGTACTTTTAATTTTCCTCTCTTCATAAGTGTTTATCCCTTTGAATAGTTGTACAATGTCAGTAGGAAAAGTTCCATCAAAAGCAGTGGCTTAATCTCCATGTAACCCTCCTGGACAGTGTGAATTCATAAATGCTCTCCGAGGTTAATCAAAACCCAGTATGCTGGGAAGACATTACTGTTGCTGCAGAACTTGTATGAAATGATTCTTTATGGCAAGAATTCGGAGTCTGCATGCTCAGTCAGTAGAGCTCTAACAGTGAATAGAGCTGAAAAGAATCCTGCAGTTCCTCATGAGCAGATCCTATCCAGAAGGCTTCACATGTCTCTTTTTTCAGTAGTGTACAAAAGCTTTATACATGATGTCCACAGAAAAGACACTGGATATAACCGCTGGCAAGGAATAAGTTACTTTCAGTAGCAATGCTCTTTAGCTAGAAGCCATATACAGATGAGGTTCATGCTTGGTCCTGTGGGAGGAGTATAATCATATTCTATCCCTGGTCAAACTAGGCCTTGGTCTTCTAATCACAGAAAGCTTCCTCACAGTTGTGGCAATGCTTTTGACTCGGTGAGGGACCCTCAAGGTGAATAAAACTGAGATGCAGCTCGTAGCATGTCCGCAGTGAGCTTTCACAAGTGGTCTGAGCTTTAACTGTAGGATCCTTTGGTTGGTTGGGTTGGGGTTTTTTCCTGTTTGTTTGTGTTCAAGGTCTAGTTTCAGGTTTTAAAGCCTCTAAAAACATTAGTGTCTTGTTAGGTCCTCATAGTGAAATAGGTGATGTCAGGCTGTTCGGGTAATGCAAGTGACAGTGTTTTGGGGAGCTCTGTGGCATTGTGCTCTAATACATTTGCATTTATCATCTCCTGTTACTTCGAATGATTGTCTCTAGGAAGTCAGAGAACCTGCCCTCGGAGCTTATTTGACTGAATCTAAGTCTTGCAAAAGCAGCTCTTTGGCTATTTGTGGATGGTGGCTCTTCAAGTCGTGCTGTTGAAGAGACAAAACCTCATGTAAGCATCTGAGCGTTGCCTTATTTGTAAAAAGCTTTTCATGGTAGAAACAAGTAGTGAAGGATACTAAAAGTTTCAGTGAAATGTATTAAACTACCAGTGGCTGATTCCGCACCCTTCCCATTCCTGAGAAACAAATGACATGTTCCAAACTTCACATCTTCTCCCTGCTGCAGGTAAAGGCACAAACTGGTTTCTTTTCCTTTCCTGCACAAGGAGAATTCTGCAAACAATTAAAATTGCAAATTGTTTGCTCAAGATCACATTTATTCAAAGGGTGCCTGCTCTTTGGGGACGGGAAGAAGTTGGGTTTGAGATGCAGTTTGAACAAGGTAAGCATTTTTTCCGATTATTCCCAGCATAATTTACCAACGGGGATACAGTGCATTTGTTAGTTCCTTTAAAAAAAAACTAATCAATGACCTGAAACATTCCCTGCAGACCTATAATATTTATTTCAATGTTCTGTCAATAAATATAACAAGGTTAGTTTTCTATCAGATTACTTGGAAGAATCATTTGAGGGAAGTTCTATTTGGTAAGCTCAATTGCAAGAAGCAATCAATAGGAAAAAGTCCTCTTGTTGGTATTGGAAGAAACGTGGAGCTCTGAGGAGTCGGAGCAGATCAAGTATTTATGTCTCTGCCCTAGCATCCGAAGGCCGGTTTGCTTCCAAATGCCAAAGGAGGGCAAGTCTGAGACAGTGTTTGAAGGACTAGTGTAGCATGCTGAATACTGCTGTGCTAAGAGGAAATCCCTGTTGACTCCTTTTGTTCATCAACCAGCCCATCATTCCCCTGCGTTTCAGAGCATGTGTAAAATCTTGACGTAGCACTTCTCAATTTCTGTGGTCCTCTCCAAAACAGTTTTATTGAGTAATGCAAAACTCATCCTGCGCTTTCACCATGTATTTGTAACACTGGAGAGGAGAGCCAGGCTTTCTGCCCTGCTCAGTAATCTTTCCTTGACATTACCAACTCCTGTTGAATGTGCCAGAGGCAACATTCTCATCGAGTGCTGTGCTGCAAGCTTGCTTCTACTGATAGAAGGAGGAGACAGTGTGGAGGTATGACAGCACAATACACATATGAAAGGGCTCTCATGACTCCATTTGGCCCACAAATGGGGAGATTTGGCAGCTGGCTTGCAGGACTGGAGACAGTAAAGCCAGAATGGAAAGAAACACAAAATGGTTTAAAGTGAAAATGAGAAACAAAGCTGGGAGGATTCTACATCCAATCATCCTACTGTAACGTACTCGAATTCTAAATCCCATGTTTCTATTAAATGCATTTTCAGCTCAAATAGTTTGGGGGACAAAGAAAGATCCATGTAACATAATTTCCCATATAAAGATGACCTCTCCATTACTATCACTGATACCTGTGTGTTCTACAGTACCTGTGGTAAGTTTTTGTTACAGGCATAACTACAAGCTGCATGTTTCCAGCCTTTCTCTGTTATGTTTTACAGTCCAGCTTTTGCTGGGAGCCTGCCTTCTGTACAGCTTGTTTTTACAGCACTCTGAGGACAAGGGGTAACGGGTTAAAACTTAACCAGGGGAAGTTTAGATTGGATCTAAGGAGGAAATTCTTTCCTGTGAGGGTGGTGAGGCACTGGAATGGGTTGCCCAGGGAAGTTGTGAATGCTCCATCCCTGGCAGTGTTCAAGGCCAGGTTGGACGGAGCCTTGGGTGAGATGGTTTAGTGTGAGGTGTCCGTGCCCGTGGCAGGGGGGGTGGAACTGGATGATCTTAAGGTCCTTTCCAACCCTAACTATTCTGTGATTCTATGAATACAGGGAAGGTACCTGGCTTCTTGCAAACGGAAGTAGTGGCGTTAAAGCCCCATAGATGTGTGGGAAAAATCCACCAAAACCCCTTTGAATTATGAAATATTTTGTCAACCAGGTTAAGGCAAACGTCCCACATGGAATGATGGTGTCTGAAAACCAGTCATTTCTGCAGTGCAA